GTAGGGCGTAACGCACCACAAAAAAAAACGAAACATTTTTTATTTTTTATTATTAACTACATAATGATAGATATTACATTAGTCTACTTGTTGTGTTCGATCGTAACCTGGAACAAAACTGCCTATATCTGAGCCCTTAGAATTTAGAAATAGCCAAAAAGTATGTGTATCAACGATTTAAGGCTGCCTAACACCAATGAGGTGACGGGGAATGTGACTAAATAATGTCAGTTTGATTAAGATTGCTAAAACTAGAGAATTCAATTTTCCTGGTCGGTCGCGGCGCTTCTCGCAAAATATATGTAGTGTGTCAAAGTATGTCCGCAGAATGCAAAGTGTTATCTTTCCCCTTCAGTCGCTATGTTCCCTCGAATGTTGCAATACTTGGGTCCCCCCCCCAAAAAAAAAGGTCTTTCCAGCAACAGAAGCCCATCGGACCCCCCCCCCTTTCCATCACCCCCAAAAATTCTAAAACAGAGCCGTTCAGCCCTCGCACTTTTAAAAACGCTCTGTACTCCCTGCAAATAACCACTACAGTCAAGAGGGATATCGCCTTATTGACGCTGTACTTAAGGGGGATTGATTACACCCACTTATTAAAAGCGATGCCACGATTTGGCCTTTCGCAAATAAATCTTTACCATAATTTGTTCTTGATCTGAGAGACAAGGAGGAGAAAAAGTGATTAGTTTTTTGTAGACTCGAAACTCACACATGGTACCTAATTGAGGATTCGGTTAAATTAAACCACCCCTATTTCTATACGATTGTATTATGTTATTCCTTTCTTTCTTTATTATTACCATTATTATTATTATTATTATTACTTATACCGCGCTTTTACCATAAGGCCCAAAGCGCTTACAGTGAATGAAAATAAAAATTACATAAATACATATAATTAGAAAAAACAGTCTTACAACTACAAACTGCAAACAAGTTTTTAAGGCCTTTCTGAAGGTAATAACTGATGGAGACCGCCTGATTGTAAGTGGTAGATCATGCTTTCTTAATCTTCTTTCTCTTCTCCATCTTCTTTTTTTTCTACTTCCTTTTCTTCTCCTTCTTTCAATATAGAACTTTCTCAACTAAATTCCTCTATCGATTTCCTAAAAGGAAAGAGAGACTGTGTTTTTCTATCGCTCAAGACGGCTATCTTGACGATTCTGAATTGCTAATATTCGAGAGGGTCCGAGAGCTAAACCCCCAAGACCCTCAGCAGGCTGGCGCGCCGGAATCAGTTTTGGATTGGGGGCAAACATTCCAGGGGGGCTCACCTTTCAGGGGCAGTGGCGTAATGAGCAAAAACGTTTTGGGAGGCAGAAGAAAAATCTGCATCACCACCACTCTAACTTGCAGGCACCGTGGAGTAATAATTATCAGGTACAACGTAGCGAGCGAAGCGAGTCGTAATTTGGCGTGGGTCTAAGGCGGAGCCTCCGGAAGGTCAGGGGTTTCAGGTATTTAATTACGGTTAGATGAGCATTCAGGGGCCCGTCCTAGAACCCCTGATGGGTCCAGGGGCCAAGCCCCCTGGAGGGGTCAGGGGTTTTAGGCATGTAATTACGGTCAGATGAGCATATTAAGTTACCTTATTTCATTAGTTACCCAGTATTTCCTTAAGTTGTTTATTTTACTAAATCCGTAATTAAAATTTTATTTGTATATATAAATCTGAACTTAATTAGTAATCATTCTTTAGTCTCATGTGCTGCCCGTGTGAGGCCTGGTGGCTTTGGATGCTATTAGAGCTCCTGTGAATCATGTGCCGACGGAGCTATTCCCTCGAATTGTTAGTGAACGGAGCAGCTAGAGAGCAGCGGGCCACACCGGGCAGGGCTGAGGGTTCTGCCCCTGTTACTTCGTAAAAGTGCCCCTTCCCCTTTTCACCACTGATAAGTGCCCCCTTTTCCTTCGACAAGTTCCAATTTTCCTTTGCAATAAGTATACATTTTCCATTCTCATAAGTGCATTTTTAGATCTCTAGTAAGTGCCCGTTTTCAGGTACGAGAAGTGACATTTTAGGCTTTTGAAAAGTGCCCCTTCCCCTCATGATAAGTGTTTTTTCATCTCTGACGAGTTCCTCTTTTCACCTCTAATAGCTGCCCCTTTTATTTTAACACGTGCTCCTTTTCTTTTCTAATAAGTGTCTTATCCCTTTCGATAAGTGTCCCCTTTTCCTCTCATCATCAAACGTGATGATTTAAAGCAACTAAGAGCAATTTCCCCGTAAAGCTAGCTCGCTACCCTCGTTTTCATTTACAGATGGTATAATAATGTTACTTATTAAAGGCCTTTTCAGTCTTCCGTTATGAGAATGTGCTTATAGCCACATGAGGATTGGTTTTTCCTCCCTATAAGATGTAATTTTTTATACTGTGACCTCACAAATCTGAAAATTTACCTCGCTCGCTTCGCTCACTCGCAAATGAATATTCAGTCCATCACACCCAACTGCAAAGTATGATGCCTAAGCAACATCTTGTATAATGTATCGAGAGTAACAAATATTGAAATTATCCCTAATAATGTAACAACAATGTAGGTGTATGTACCAATGTCTAAAAAAGGGTATATTTTCGCTTTGAGAGAAATTGGTTTTTTTTTTGTTGGTCCCCCCCCCCCCTCAATTTGGAAGGCGCTCTGCCGCCCCTGCTCCCATGTGTGGGCATTATGACAATTATGAAGAATTATGAATTATTTTTTAGAAGAACGATGAGGAGGACGTACATCCGTGAACTCGAGAACTGAAGTGTGAGTGGTCGGGTGAGTGCCCTTTTATATACGGTGTGTGACGTCTTCAAGGCAGAGCAAACGTTGAGCGAACGGTATGGCTGTGTTCCGTGACACTACCTGGTACGAGGACGTTGTAAGCGGCAATGAACCGGAATGGAGATGGAATGGAAACGTTGAAGGCACGGTGTACAAATTTAGCAAAAATAATTCTTTGCGGCAGGATAGATTTTCACCGCTTGTCATTTAAATCAAACGGTATGGGCCCGTTGGGCTTATCGGTGCTATGTGACAGCGCCAATAGGTATTCAACGATTTTTTCAGTATTCAGAATATTTCGCAAATATATATAATTATACATATTTATATAACATTCGTAAGGCTCTGTTCGGATGGTGACGTTAAAGGTCGGTCCCTAGACGTAAATAATCATATCTGATTGATAGACGTCTGTAAAAACCCAATCACACACATACACACACACACACGCACACGGCTGTGTTCAGTTGATGCTGATTTTTTTTAAATTTGGTTTGAGAATTATTTAACAAATAGAAGTCAAGTGGTATATTTCAACGATGTTACTTCAAATAATTTACAAATTGTGTGTGGTGTACCACAGGGTTCAATCCTGGGTCCGTTGCTTTTTTACTCTATATTAATGATCTTTCCAATTGCTCATCTGTTTTTAAACTTGTACTTTTTGCTGAAAGTACTTGATATATATCAGCTTAATAAGTATTTAGTAGGATTAATGCTCTTTAGATATGTTTACACATCACTGCCTGAAAATCTGCAAGTGCTATTAACTTTTAACAATGAAATCCATAGCTATAACACTCGTCATAGAGAGAAATTTCATATATTCAAATGTACAACAAACTTTGTGTCCTTTTCTTATAAACATACTGCACCTCTTGTCTGGAACGCACTCCCTCAGGAAATGAGATGTGATAAAAAGAATTTCATTTTTTTTTTTTTTTTTTTTTGTTCCTTCTTCACTTATATATATATATTTGTTTCGTTTTGTATTGTTTTGTTATTGTTCAGTAAATTATTTATGTACATAGTTATCTATTGCAAAAATATTTTAACTCAAACCTTTGGCACAGCCTCGACAAGTTCAAATTTATTTGAACTTTTGCAGTGACCCAAATTCCATCTGATTTCTTTACCTTTATCTTTACCTTTAAATGTACTGATCAGTGACCTTCTGATGTTTGTATAACTTGTATTTTTTTTTTTTTTTTTTACACTTGTGTTATTTTTTATACATATATGTTTTTTATTGAATGGAATGAATAAATCTTGAAATCTTGAATGATTATAACAAAGCTTTTCTATCATTTGATAAACAAAAATAAATACAACACAATTACTTGTTCATTATGTCACAATGTAAAGGACGAAAATATATCACTATCACATAATATAAAAGATATTACCGCATTTCACAGTTATTTCAACCCCAAAACTAGAACAAACAATACTTTTTTTCGAGAAAAGATTGACAAGTTTTTTAACGGAATATTAAAAAAAAATGAGTTTCATATTTCTCAACATATTATTATAAATAATTGAAATGTTGAGTTTTATTTCATTAAAACACGATCTATCCCAAAACCCTTGGAATTATGATTACTATGGTTGCGGGCATGACGGGTGTATGGGACATGATTAATATTCATAATAGATTTGCTCAGCACTTTATCAAAGGGCCACTCTAACCCAACTAACATAGCCTTTTAAAACATGAATACACCTCTACTTATTAATATTCCAGCCTCTGATTTTTCAGAAAATCTCTTAATTGACCAAAATATGATAATAGCCATCCATTTTTCACAGTTCTCACGCTTACTGGGCTACGCCCCTCGAAAAAAAGGTAATACTGTACCGTGGCTTGATGACGCATTTGACGTCATTGCGGGCATGTCCAATTTGATAATTTGATAATTTCATGATTAGGAATGACGAAATTGGCCAGAAATGTACTGGGATTATCAAGTGCATATTATTTTTTTGGATAGGGCCTAAATGTCTTTTTTCCAATTAATATCATAGTTTGCCTTTTCAAAGACATTTTAATGCCTAAATTACCCTCCTTTTTACCGGAGAGGCGCCTGAAGGGACGTCAAATGCGTCATCACCAAAACTAGGCTTTTTTTCCTGCGCCTTCTGAGTCGTCATTTTTAAAGCTACATTCCAGAATTATGATAAGTTCTACGAAAAATCATTGTCATGTTCGGAATCTCCGTCAAAAAGTATTCTACATATCTTTTTTTCTCTTCATTTTTAGCCCGTTTTGGTTAGAGTGGCCCTTTAACCATGACACTGGCAGGTATTCATGGTACTGTTGAGTGTTTACACGGTTACACGCTTGAACCTTTGTAATCAGGATAATTGAATTTATCGTCTCCCATGAGTTTGGCAAGTTCCACGTTAAACGGTCGATGAAAATCATTGAGGGCGTTCAATGTCTCTGGATGTGTCTGTTCATGTTGTCTTTGGTTCTGATTACTGCGTCTCCTTTTCAGTATTCTATTCTCCTCATCCACACTCAGTTGTCCTGGGTAAGAATAGCAGAGCAGAGATATAATAAAATGTTGACTCGAATCATGAGTATGGTTACATGAAACAGTATACCATTTTCATAGACATTAGCTATATATATCCGTCATAGTCTTAACCTCCAAGTTTGCAAATCCTCGTGGTTTTAAACAACGACACGCTAATATCAACGTTGGTTTTAACGGCAACAAAGTGAAGCTGTGCTCGGTTTTCAGAGGTACATTTTATCAAACTTGTGTTGAACTCTATAACGTCAATACAAAATAGAATACTTCTATGGAGATACAATGCTTATTTTCCGACCGACTCGAGCTATTAATAATAATAATAATAATAGATCACATTTATAACGCGCCTAATATATTGTTTCTAGGCGCAGTGGTGCTGTTGTCCCAGCAGCCATTAAGTGAAGCAATGTCCTTACACGAAATAAAGCCGGGACGACGGCACCACAAGTACACAATAATATTCAGTACACAATTAGAGTATGTTACGTTATGTTTCGTTACAAAATCAAAATTACAGTTTGTTACAAATAAATGAATAAATCAACTTAATCTAACTTAAATTGTGCTAAAGATGACCTATTTAGGTATTAAGTACAACATCATTCATTTATTTGACATGTTAAGAGAAGACAAAATTCATGGTATGTATTTGAACAGATGGGTTTTTAACATTGCTTTGAAAGTGGATGTAGAAGGAGCATTTTGAATGTAGGACGGGAGGCTATTCCATAACTGGGGGGGGGGGGCAGCTACATAAAGCGCTCTTAATGACTGCGTAGAGGATTCAAAGCTGCAAAATAATCCGAACGTCGAATGTTTTCTAAAACCTATTGATAATAATAGGCCTAATATGTTGTGTGCATTACATCGATTGCACATCACTATGACCCTCATAATTCTAAGCTCTGATTTTATTTCTCCAACTTCATGTTTTCATTATTTTGGTTTTAAACCTCATGGTCTTTTCCCGCCGTATTTGAGATTATATAATCAATGTCTTACTTACTTAGATCGAGAAAGTTGAGAAGATCTCTGTAGACTGTGACAGGTTCGGCTTCCCAATCCTCCAATCGTATCACCTTGAAATTATCACGTGGGAAGACTTTCAACCAATCACGGATGAACACGTGATATATACCCACTTGCAGGTCTGGGATTAGGTCGTAGGGCTAAGGGTGCAAAGGAGTATAATAACAAAGCATATTTCTGTGATAATACGCCGGGTGCATAAATTTTCCCACTTGAGTTCCGGACCCCAGTATGAACTCATTTGCATACAGCCAATCAGAGCTCATCTTGTCAATAACAAGCTTTACGCGTGCTAAAGATTTTACGGATGCGAAGCGGTTAACGGTGCGAAGCTGCTATGGCTTGTAAATGTTTCATTTGTGCTCTAGCATGTCTGCATTTACAAGCCATAGAGCGCTATCTGTTTGAAAAGAGCTTCGCACCGTTAACCGCTTCACATCCGTAAAATTGTTAGCACGCGTAAAGCTTGTTATTGACAAGATGAGCTCTGAATGGCTGTATGCAAATACTTATTCCACGGTCAGGGATGTTCACAAGACAGTATGCGTTCCGAAAATTGGAATAAAGTAAAATGTACGAATGTTCTAATATTTCACAGGTTAAGAGCACTATGAACATGACGGACAAAGAAAGAGGAAAAATATACAGTTCCTCAGGTAGACAAAGGAACACCCCTTCACTGCTATTATGTAAAAATGTGTAGAACAGGTGAATATGCATGTGACACCTGTTCCACACATTTTTACATAATAGCAGTGAAGGGATGTTCCTTTGTCTACCTGAGGAACTGTATATTTTGTCCTCTTTCTTTGTCATGTTCATAGTGTAGGTGGCCGACACAGGGCTGTAGGAAGTGATTTTTAATGTTTTTATTTCGACTATGTTACTTATTGCATTGGCTGTAATAATGCTCAATTCAGGATAAACAGAAATGCAACAGCTTAGAGTTACGAGTAGGTCTTTTAGGCCGTAAATTATTCTTTCAGGGGGGGGGGGGGTGGGTTAAATCATTATTATGAAAGCTTTAACATTAAATAGTTTTTTACGTGGATTTTTACTCAAAACATAATGGTTAAAGATAAAGGCCAGTTATGGTCATGCGATTGCATTGTGAAAGAATCGTTGTGGAATCGATTAGAAGTTTTGGTAAAGTTACAATCACTGTACACAGAAAGATGTATATGGGACTACGCGACACGTATGCGACACACGCGAGATACGTGCGTTATATCTAAGGTCTTTACCTTTAAACATAATTTATGATTACAAATTCGGGATAAACCACAGTCTGTCCGATGGATTCGACCCTTATACCAGTAATCAGGCGCGTACATAGGGGGGGGGTTGGGGGTTAAACCCCCCCTTTGGTAATTTTGTGTGTGTAACCCCCCCCCCCCTTTTGGATTTTTTTTTTTTTTTTTTTTTAATTAAAAAAAAAAAAAAAAAAAATTCCCATGACCGACCTCAAAAAGATGACCTTACCCCCCCCCCCCCCCCCAACGGAGCAAAATGTCAAATTTTCAAATTTCGATACCAAAAAAAAAAAATAGTGTCCGCTTACCCCCCCCCCCCCCCCCCCCCCCCCCCCCCCCCCACTGAGCGACTTTTCGGTTGGCTGAGTCGTTGCGATTTTTTTTTGGACTACCAAAAAAAAAAAAAAAAAATGTCCGCATACCCCCCCCCCCCCCCCCCCCCCCCCCACTGAGCGACTTTTCGGCCGGCGCGATTTTCAAATTTTCGGGAGCAAAATATTTTGGGCCAGATTTTGAAACCCCCCCCCCCCCCCTTGAAAAAGATCCTGCGTACGCCCCTGCCAGTAATATTCTACTCACACATTCTGCAGCATATGCGCAGAACCTTAGATTGTAGTCTTGAACGCATTTTTTGAAACACTGGATGTAAGTGGTAGCTTTTTGGTGCCATCTGTCCGCGTCACCTGGCTGACCTGGGCGGTGTAGATACCAGAAGAACGAGTCGGCTCTGTATTCATATCGGTGTTTGTGGACAGGAGAGAGAGAGAGAAGTTCGATCTAATTACTAACAACCATATTTCATTTCATCTTTATTGATCCACGGTAATACATAATAATTATGTTTCCATTTCCCGGACAGACTGATGCTACCGCTTCACCCCTGCAGTATATAAAACGCAAGGCCACAGTACGCCCGACGAACGGTTGCCGTGGAACAGCTCTACGACATGGCTAATGAACCTAGAAATGAAAACAGTAATAACTCCGCGTTAAAATCTCACGGCGACCGTATACAGCCTGTAAAGATAGGAATACGCCCTAGGGTGACCCAGAGGCCATCGCAGATTTTCTGCGATCGCCGCAAGTATCTCTCGATTTCGAGGGCGTACGGCCGCCGTAACCTACCCGTAGACCAAATGTGACCTAGACATTTTGATAGTTACTGATCTGCCCACAAATTTAAAGAAAGAACGGTTCTTGTTAGAGAAAAAAGCGTATCAAATCAGACGAAATGAGCAGAAATCAACCAGAATCAGGCTGGTGGGCACCAAATTGCGAATAGAAAGTAGGGAAAAGGGAACAGCAATGGCATGGAGGCAAGTGGTTGATTGAAGTACAAAAAATGCTTTTGGCATGAGAAACAGAATTCACTGAAGAAACGAAACACCTTACATTTCGACAATGTAACATTAATGCAACTGACCTGAAATGAGGTTATTGAAATAGCGATTATCTATAAGTAATATGTATAAAGATATCAATCGTTTCGTTGTACACAAGCGATCAAGAAAGTAGTGTTATAATATTGAATGCATACCGCTTCGACCGATGACTTACATGAGCCTTTATGGCCCGAATTCACAAAGGAGGTTTGTCGACAAACCTCCCTTTGTTATTTACAAACGAGGTTTGTAAAAATCGCGTCAAAACGCGTCATATGACGTACATAAACCTCGGTTAGTCGACAAACCTCCTTTGTGAATTCGGGCCAAGATGGCTGAAACCATATATTATTATTATTATATGCTAGATTTTTCAGAAGACATACACAAATTCAGGATTATGACTACAGGGAGGCTAATGATCGATGTGATTTTTGTTGTTGTTTTTTGGCCTTCGGAGAGGAGAATAAATCTGAATAAGTCTTCCTTAGAAAACAAAATGGACAGGTGTGAATATTTGCTCTAGATATCAATGCCAGTTCGAAATACCGGGAGATAAATACAAAAGAAGTGAATTAATGTTGTGTACACTGAACCTACTTTGGTGCGTTTTTTATATCCTGTTATTAATGTGAAGGAGCTTTCGAAAAGAGGTGGGGCTCCCATTTAGCCGATTTCTATTAGCGAGTTATGGCGAGTTGCCTCAAAGAGGCACTTGCAATAACTCGCGAAAAGCTCTTCTTGTAACTCGGGATAACTCGCGGCAATTCGGAATGGCTCGGCATAACTCTTTACAACATTCCACGACTCTCGTCCAAGTCGCAAGCAGTTCCAAGTGACTCGTTGTAACTCGAGGTGAACTCATGTAAGCATTGGTCACATCCCACCGTGCGTGTTTTTAGTCCGTACGGTTTTTGGGGAGGCCACGGCCGCCACGTTTTTCTGAAAACGTAGGGAGGGAGTGGCAAAGGCAGGGAGGGAGTACCGGCAACGCGCGTCACACGCACTGTGTAAGTACACCTGCACGCCACGCCTGCATGGCCGTGAACGGTTGCGTGCATCGTACGTTGCGCACGTGGTAAGTGCGTTGTACGTGCTTACAACGTACGGTCTCCGTGCGGTTGCCACGTTATCGCACGGTGGCCGTACTTACAAGTGCTGCTCACGTACGGTGTCCTTACTCACTCGCATGTTGTAAGTGCGTGCACGTGCGATGAACTCGGTGTATATGAAGGACGACATTCCGATGTTCTCCAGAAGTCCCAGCTGTTGCTGCCTCAAGATGCCGCCCATTTCACCGAAGAGACTATATAATGCATAAATCAGTGCGAACATCGTGCGTTGTAAGTGCTTACTCGGTACGGTCCATGTGAGTTCTGCGTGCTCATTGGATAGCTGAACTGGGGAGGTAGCGAGTAAGCACGGACGACGCACTTATCACGTGCGCCTTTAAAAGACGCACGGAGTCAGTGCGTTGTGCGCTCGTTGGCAGTACCGGGCACGCACGTCACACGCACTGGGGTGAATCGGTAGCCCGAACGCAGCACGAACACAGCGAAAGTTCCTCGTGCATTAAAAGTGCTACGGTGTGTCTGCGTGCTCCCAAATCCGTACGGAGGCGGTACTCATCACGTACGGATACCCAAATTTTGCCCACGTTTTTGCACGTAGACAGCACGCACTTGCAGGTACGGCGGGATGTGACCACCGCATTACGCTCGTAATATACTCGCACCATGGGTGTCACTCCTGGGGGGGGGGGGACGGGGGACACGTCCCCCCCCCCCACGAATTTTCAGGTGGTGAAATGTCCCCCCCCCCCCCCCCCCATGATTTGGGGTTAAAATCTTCTTCTTCTTTTTTTCATTCTTTCTCTCTTTCTCTCTATGTTGAGATAAATCAAGCCAAATCAGGCGATCCGATTTTGTAAATAGAAGCGTCATTAATATCACATTCACATTACCTGAAGTTCAAACATTGGTTTACGATGAAAATCCTTTCACCAACTGAAAAAAAATTAAATTAATCCCTTGTATCTTCCAAACCTTATGGCTAATTGTTCAATGGAAACAACAAATTCATCTATCTACCCTCCCCCCTTGCGTTCTCGTTCTTGTTAGTTGAACTTAAAGCTTATCTGCCGTAGTTTACAGGAGGGATTAGACTGCCCTGCAAGGTCACTGGACAGGTGGTTATCTCATCAACTCAGCTCTCAGTTAACATAAAAAAAGAGGATCATGGGGGACCAATGGTCACCGATTAGGCATTGTTTGTTATATAGAGGGCGCAAGTAGCTACAAGTAGTGCAGTGGGCCTTTAAGACTGTTTTCTCTTTAATTTGGCAAAAATTATGCCCCAAATCAAGCCATCTATCCATCGATTTCAAAAAAAATCTTCAACTTCTGAGGGGGGCACACCCACTGCGTTATACTGTTTTCCTTTTAATTTGGCAAAAAGTATGCATCAAATCGAGCCATCTATCCATCAATTTAAAAAAAAATCTCAACCTCAGACACCCCCTGCGTTCTTGTTCCTCGTTAATTGAGCTTAAGACTGTTTTATTTTTAATTTGGCAAAAAGTATGCCCAAAATTTTAACATTTTAACCCCCCCCCCCCCCCGCCCTTCGAATAAAAAAAATCCTGCATACGCGCCTGGCGTCTTGTCTCGCAAAATGAGACACATGTGTTTTTATTGAGTATAGTTTCGTTTGTGCTAGACATCACTGTTATAAGGGAGTTTACAGATACAATCTGCGCATGGGCAGATAAAGGACATTTGTACCAAAAAAGGTAAAACCCACAGAGATGAATACTGGATATGCGCTAATGAAAGTTAAGTAACATTATTCATTTATGCACCTACGGTACATTCTATGATACGTAGGTGGAAGTATTCTTTTCAAGAGGGCAAACAAAAGATATTCATGAAGCACATCTAGGACTTTGGCAGTTATTATTCTAATATGCTCAAAGTGGAACTTCTCCATGTGTAAAAGATCTGTGGATATTCGGGGTCATTTGTACCATGTGCTATCTGTAAACTCCCTTATTGTCATAGATGTTGCAGTAGTTGTTTTGGTGGGCTAGCACGAAGTCAGTGTTATTTGGTTGATCTTTTTCGTTTTCGTTTCAGGACAATATTTAAAAATTAAAATTAAAAAAAAAATTAAAAAAAACGGTGTGGTGGTTCAGTCAGTAAAGCGTCCGCCTTACAACCGGGAGGTCGTGGGTTCGAACCCCGGCCGCATCATACCAAACGACGTAAAAGACGGGAGTTGCTGCTACCTTGTTTGACGTTCAACAATAAGGGATAGAGCAACGTCGATTTGGCGCTGCTCATTACACATAATTTTAGTGAGGTATTTGAATTCTGTATATTTATCCGGGATGTCCTATACAGGATTTCCCCTTTAATTCCGGGAAATAGAGATAGACATTATTTGAAAAATTGGAGACCAATACCTTTATTAAACGTGATGCATAATTTGGGTTCCGCTTGTATATACATGTAGCAAACAGATTGAAGAACGTACTTCCTTTTCTTATACGTGAAACTCAGAAAGGCTTTATGTCAGGGCGCTTCTATGGAGAGAATATCCGTTTGTTGTATGATTTATTACAAAAACTGATATCAATGACATTCCTGGTTTATTGCTGCGTATAGATTTTGAAAAAGCTTTTGATTCTCTTTCTCACGATTTTATTAGAAAAGTATTGCACTTTTTAAAATTTGGTCCCTCTATCGTAAAATGGTTCAATGTATATTATGAAAATGCTCAATCCTGTGTACTACTAAATGGACACCTGTCTCCAAGATTTTCAAAAGAGCGAGGATGTCGTCAAGGAGATCCTCTGTCAGCTCTTATATTTCTATTATGCTAGGTATTTTGTTTAGAAATACGATTCCATTGTTGGTTTGAGCTTACCTGATAGACAACTTAAGATAATTCAGTATGCAGAGGATATTCGTTTAACATTGAACGGGTCAGTAATGGAATTAAACAGTGCATTACACAGTTTAGATGAATATAATGCAATTTCTGGATTAAAAGTTAATATACATGTAAATAAGACACATGCGATATGAATTGGAGGATACACACCAAAAGACGGAACTAAGTATGGTGAGTAAAAATCGTAGCTCACTCATTCAGTCGAGAGAATATATCTAATAAATGCATTATGTGAGTATGTGACCCAATTTATTTTCTCGATGAGTCTTTTTACTCATTAAAGTACATGGAAGTTAATATTGGATGAGTATTCTCCAACTTTAGTGACCGAATGAGTAAAAATATTCACAAGTGTGTAGAGTGGCTTTTTGCTCTCTAATATGTCACAGACTCTTTATTCGTTGGATGAGTAAAAAAAAAAAAAACCTCAGTCTCTTCGAAGCTGTACTCGTCTTAGGAGCTATCTTACTCTTTGTATATCATGCGCGTAAATATTTCGCTGATGAATATTCGTACGCGTTCGTGACTTCATTTGATTTGATTAGATTTATTGGTTTCTGCATCTTTTTCTTTTTTGAATTATACATTTTCATGAACATAATATATGGTTTGATACAATATTTTAAGTGTTTGTAATTTTGTACAGATAATAATCGAAATTAAACAAATATATTGAATGCATAATTAACATACATTAGATGCAGGAGGGTTACAGATATAAGCACAGTAGCTTGACGTGCCCGCAGCCCTCAACTTAGATACAACAATTAAAAAATATATAAAAAAAAGTGACTTGCAGAGAAGAAAAAGAGAGGGGAGAGAAGAAGCGTTAGTAATAATACAATACATCTCATACAGCTGCTGATTGAATGCAGGTTCATTCATGAATGGATAAACGATGCTAGGTCATGGACGATTACACATATTGTTGAATATACAGTAATTTTGAATCAATTAGTAGTAATATTACTGAAGGGGATTCCTTGAATTTTATTCAGACTTTTTCTAAAACGAGTTAAGGCTACCGATTAGATATAGAATCTAGATCTAGTGCTGACATTTGAAGCTCTTCTTGTGCATGACCGAAGTGTATGGAGTGCATGGCGAAGGCAGCGCGCGACCGAAGTCCTGCAATCGCGAGGCCCATAAGCAAGGCTATATTATTTATGTGTATGTCAAATCGCAATTTACTCACAACATTTGGTTAAATAACTCACTAATTTAGATTACTCATTTGCCATTTAATCACATGTGATGAGCCTAATAACCTGACTGGCTGAGTAATTGTAGCATAAGTCACTAGTTGAGATGGAGCGATTTACTCGCAACATTAGGTTAAATAAAATTTAAAATACTCATTTGCCATGTAACTTTAATGTCAAATTAACAAAACTCATTCCTGTGCGTTATCAATCTCAATTTAATGAGTTAATGCATTCAGTTAAGTGTGTCACTGTAGTGTCAAAATCTATTTGTCTATTTGAGTAAGAAATATTTATTTGTGTGTAGGGCTATAATACGTACCTCCTTGTTGGGTTGCGTATCATTAGAATAAACTTTGCGTTGGGTTGAAGAGCGTGCATAAGATCAGCGTTGGTGTAGGGGGGTTCCGCAGCATACGGAAAAGTCTTTATCCATTCTCGTCCAATGGCGTAAACAGTTGATATAGAAGCATCACCTGGTTAAAGAGTTTATGTTTAAGGTTAAATAACAGAAGTCGGTAAGGGAAAGGTTACGTACTGCAGTTTTCTCTGTTATCGTAATCTCATTTTGACGATGATGATAAAATTTCTTTAATTTCTAATTAAGAAACAATTCCTTCACTTTTCAAAGTAATGTCTAGCGTAATATACTTCACTTTAGAAATCCAGCCATCTGATTGGTCGAAATAGGAGTCGTGATTTTAGCCATTCCCCTAAAATGCCAAAACCGGTCAATAGTCTTTTGACAAAAGCCCTAGGGCACTTTTCAAAAGACTATTGCCCGGTTTGGGCATTTTACGTATATGCGTGCAATCTCAATGGGAAGGATTTAAGCACACAAACTCGGAGGGGGGGGGGGGGGGTTACATGATCGTGCGATCACCCCTCGGCATGCCTCGGGGCGTTAGCACGATCATGTAACCTCCCCTTGAGCGTATAAAAACAACTATGTCTCATAGCAGTCATTATTACTATATTTTAGTATTTTAAGAAAACAGACTGTACCTTATACACACCTTGCATCCACGAAGGATCTGCCTAGTCTTAGCCCAACATAGAGGCAGTGATAATATTTTACCCCTTTCCCCATCATCAAAGAATATTACTTTAAAACCGAATGTTTTCTTTCTTTTCAAAAAGTTGGACTGCCACCAAGTTTATATCCCCTCCTAATAGGATAGTTACATTTACCATAATGACCTCTATTTTGGAGAGATCGAAATATCGAGAAAGAAACTAATCAGGAGATAATTAAATTGTTCTGCTTTATCTAAATATATTCAATTCAATTCATCTTTATTCAACGATATAAAAGAAAATAGTACAATGCAATAAAACATATTGACATAATCATATACATGTGTAAAATTAACATATCGTTAGGGGCAGCCAAAAAAGATCAGGATCTTGTGGACTGGTGCCCCTTTGACAAAATTAACAAATTATAAGTAAAACATTAATAATAATCACAAGCAGACACATCCAACACACACACACAAACACACACACTCACCCAAGAGAAGGGAAGGAGAAAGAGAGATTACATGTACAGTGTACATATATGAGGTAAACTTATGAAAAAGATATATGGAAATCAAGAAGTATATTTATGAATAAAGTGACTTTTAAGTAAGGCTTTGAAGGAGGAGGCTGTTGAACATGGACGAACGATTGTATTTAAATTATTAAAAATCTTCGGTCCTACATGTTTAAAAGAATTATACATTTGCTTATTAGAAGTTAATGGAAGGTGAAATTGGGAAGCTGAACGTGTGTAATATTGATGAAAATCATTATTAAAGTTAAACAAATTAATTATATTGGCTGGGGCCATTTTATGCTTGACATAATACATCAGTACTGCGACTTTAAATTCATATATATGATAAATATTAAGTGTTTTTAATTCAAAAAAGAGGGGGCGAGATGGCGCTAAATAAGGTGACTTTGTACAAATGCGTAAGGCTTTTTTCTGCAGTTTATGAAATGGTTCTAATTTGCTTTTCCCAACGTTGGCCCAGGTAATGTTACAATAATGGATAAAAGGAAGTATAAGTGAATTATATAGCATGAATAAATGTTTTTGGGGTAAAATAGAACGCAATTTACAAATAATTCCGATATTTTTAGATATCTTTTTTAGTATGTACATACGATGGTTTTGAAAAGTAAGTTGATTGTCCAATAAAACTCCAAGAAATTTCACGGAGTCAGAAACATTCAAGTATATATCATTAATTTTCACTTTGATTGTATGAGGAGGAAACTTAATATTAGGTTTAGAGAAATACAAAATACATGTTTTGTCATGATTAATTACTAACTTATTGGAATCAAACCAGTCAACTATTTTGCCTAACTCTTCGTTAGTCTTATGTAGGAGCGTATTAAAGTCTTTATGTGAGGAAATGATATTGGTATCATCAGCAAATAAAACAAAATGAAAAAATGAAGTAACATTACACAAATCATTAATGTACAGCAAAAATAACAAGGGACCGAGTATGGATCCCTGCGGAATTCCGCATTCAACCTTGGAAAGAGATGAATCAAAATTATTATACCTTGTATATTGGGACCTATTCAGTAAATAACTATTAAACCAGTCTAACGCTACACCACGAATGCCAAAATACGGTAACTTATACAAAAGAATATTATGGTCAATCAGATCGAATGCCTTTGATAGGTCAAGGAAAATGCCAAGTGAATGAAAATTATTATGAATATTATTTAATAGTACATCATGTAGATCAATCAGTGCATGTTCACAAGAATGATTTGATCTGAAACCATATTGGGCATTAGTTAATAAAGTGTTCTTATTTATATGATTAGCTATACGGTTATACATGATTTTCTCTAAGATCTTTGAGAAGCAGGGTAATAAGGTAATGGGTCTATAGTTAGAAAATAAATGTCTATCACCTTTTTTATACACTGGAACTATTCTACCAATTTTCATTTTATTTGGGACAGAGCCCGTGCACATAGATAAATTAACAATATGAACCAAGGGAACAGCAATTGAATGAATGACTTTCTTAATAAGATGCATGTTAATGTCATCAAACCCTGCACTCTTAGAATTTTTCATTTTTTTAACAACATTAATTATTTCTGTTTCACATGTTGGGTACAAATAAATCGATTTATTACAAGAATGGCTAAGATAAGAACTAAAGTGAGTTTTCGGTGATTGATTTAACTTAGATTGAGCAAGAGAAGCAATGTTTGAAAAATAATTATTGAATTCTTCAGCAATATCATCATTTTCTATTTTAACATCATTTTTCATAAAAAAAGTTGGGAGTTTATCTTGCTTACTTTTCCCAATTAGCTCATAAATAATTTGCCAAACTTTTGAAAGATTATTTTTATTAACTTGTAGTAAGTCATAATAGTATTTTTCACGAGCAGTTTTCAACTCACGATTCAATATATTTCGGTACCTTTTAAATTTATTATGAGATGTATCATTGCGTGTTTTACAAAATTCTTTATAAAGCCTGTTTTTTTTATTGATACATCTTAATAAAGAAAAAGTAATCCATGATTTTCTTGGTGAAGAATTCTTTTTATGATTACCTTTCGAGCATTTATTACTAACAACATCATTAAACTTATTAAAAAAACAATCATATGCGAGTTCAACATTATCAAACTGGAAAATATCAGACCAATCAAGATTAACTAATTCTTTTCCTATGGAATCAATAGAAGTAGAGTTACATGTAAGACATCTTCTAGATTTATTAGCATTAGTATTTTCTTTGAGATTATTTTGAGTAATAGAAAAAATTGGCAAGTGGTCTGTTATATCGTTATAAAATATACCAGAACTTATATCTTTACTGCAGACATTCGTAAATATATTATCTATAAGTGTTGTCGATGATTTACAAATACGTGTAGGCTTATCAATCAATGGACGATATGATTTATTATACAAAATATTTACAAAGTCATTGACATGATTTACAGTAGAACAATGCAGCAAGTTAATATTAAAATCACCCATAATGTAGACATCTTTATTTTCTTTTTCTAGTTTCTGTAAACAAGCATCAATTTCACAATTAAATTCTTCAACATTAGTATGGGGATCTCTATATACAACAGCAATGATAATATTTCTTTTGTTTTGCACATAAATTTCAAGAAAGAGTGATTCACAAATTGCATTTAACAAACATAAATCCTGTCTTACAACCACGTTCAGAGAATTTTGCACAAGCATTGCAACACCACCGCCTCTACATTTTTCCCTATCATTATGAAAAAAAGTATACCCACTGAGATTGAATAATGAAACTGGAGTATTGTTGTGGATCCATGTTTCACTAAATCCATATACAGAGAATTTTTGGTCTAATTGACAAATAAAATCGTGTAAAGAATCAAAGTTCTTATATAAACTACGCGAATCAAAATGAAGCAAATTAAACATATCGCCATGTTGAAACTCAGAGTTTGCATTAAAATCATTTGGCAACCAGTATTTATTACAAATATCAAACAGATTAGAGTTCCTGTCGGGATCAATATCATTAATAATATCATCACTGTCATCGAAAACAAGATCATCATGGGATATTTGGTTAGGTAAGTTACGGTAGTCAACAGGGTTAGTAGTAAATGTATTGAACAGATTGTTAAGGTCCAAGTTAGAAAGAGAGGAGAAGGGAAATGGGAAATCACACATCATCAACAATCACACACTATCAACAGTCACACAAGAGAATTTACAATACAGTATTATTTGAAATAAAATATGAAAAAAAAAAAGATACAAAATCAATTTGAAATTAAGTGCACATGCAAAGCCTGCAGAAATTATTTTGCTATCTGTTCATTTGATTTCATAGTCCAATTATAGCTCGCGTTCAAAAGTTATTCTGTTCAGATTACAGAATATGAATAGTCACTGTCGAGCTAACACTTGTCGCTTGCACTTGAAACTTGTCTCGTGCCTAGAGTTTTGTGAGATCACCATTCAGACCTTATACGTTTCTTTTCTGTTGCAGCTGAAGTCAGAGTTTCAATTTGGAACTGCTTAATATTCGGTACCTGAGATTTATTTCGTATTATTATACTCGAACAAGATAGGAAAGTGTACTATACTCACCAAACACCTTTGGGTGGTAACCAATCCCTTCTTTGGTAGTAATCCTGCTATTTATTATTTCTGGTACAACTGATGCTTTATATAAATTAAGGTACCATTCCAGAGAACTATCGTCCGTGCCACCAGTGTGACTGCGGGCTTGGAGTACTTCATGAAAACAAAACAACAAGAAAGAGTCACACCGACATTAAGATAATTTCTCCTGCTCTTAAGCTTGAGCAGGAGAATTTCATCGCCTATTTCTCTTCTTTCTATCGGCCATTTCTCCTTTGTACCATTCATAGTGGCCGTTTCATCGGATGCGTCCGAATGCATCCGATGAAAATTACCGCTCTATGAAAGGGGTATTATAATAGCCGATAGAAAGAAGGGAAATAGGCGATGAAATTCTCTTTCTATCGGTGCACTCCGATGAAACTGCCAGTATGAATGGGTACGATGTGATCTGCAGTGATCATTTTACAGTTTACAGCAGGGAAACGTACGTACGAAAAGCAGTCGAATTCATGCGATACGTCACAAAACGGGCCGTGCGCAAACACAATGGCGACGTTCTGAAAATTCTCAGAGCGACGAAAGACGAAGGATTTTGAAGAAGAGATACGTCCTCCCTTTCGTCAAATGTATGATGCTTTATAATTTTCAGCTGTTTTAAATGGCCTACAAACTGAAATTAACATGTAGTTTGAGGTTAATTCCCCTTTAAGTTAATCTTTCACTTTCCCGACATCCAATTGAATCAAACTGTTAAAGTTTTATTATTGTTTGTATTAACTGTTTTCTTGATTTGTCTTTGCCGAATGTTTAATGATGGTGATGATGATTATGATCATGATAATTAGGAAAGATAATATTAAAAGTAATGATAATTGTAACAATAACAACAACAACACTAATAACAATTATTATATTAATAACAATAATAATAATATACAAAAATAATAATAATGGTAATGATATAAATAATGAATACTATACCTTCAGGTCGATTTATGGGTATGGCTGTATATCCATTTCTTCTAGGTCCCCACCAGTGGGGTTCTTTGGCTACCTTTGCGAAGACGTCAGGGTGAGCGGTGATCTTGTCCCACATGTCTGTCGTCCCACACTTGTAATTGCCAAGGATATAGAAGTAAGGTAGACAATTTAGTTCCGTCTCCCCTCTCAACCAGCAAGGATTCTTGAAATTGTCCAGGAAGCGTAAGGGAATCTTTTCAAAGAGCTGCAGAAAGATTGCGAAAGAACAATATCAAGTTCAACGTCATCAATTAATGACGGTTTGATGTATTACTTTATCCACATTCATTCAATGAGGCTGGGGCCAAAATATAACGATGTCCATGTAACGTTGATAAGGGATTTTCTACTACACATAGAGGATGAAATCATATGTAAAAAAAAAAATGTTATGCACTGAATAGCATTTTCCAGCCAGAATCATCCCTCTTTCAGTTACTTCTCTTCAAACGTTTGCTCAATATGCGTTTTTTTTTAAACCATGCATTGTTACACTGACTCATCATTTATATGACATTACTTAACCTTTGGGACTGTGATATTGATTCTCCATGAAGCTAGAGTATTCTAAACATAGTTGGCTATGCTTTTTATGCTCAACTCAATTGCCCGACCGGAATTATTATTAAAACAAAAAGAACAGAAACCATATCCAAGTTCATTCCTATTTGCAGTGCATTGTGCCGATCATGAAAAGACCGATTTAATTAAAAACAAGCATTAAACTCTCTGTAGACAAGCCAGACATAAAAAAGGCTCTAGAAAAGATTCCATAGCATCCATGCTTAAACTCTTGTAGAAATACTAAGGCATACAATAGGGGTAGATACCACACGCACTTTTTACTAAAAATTACTTTTTTGGCTCAAAATTTGAAAGAATGTCAAAATTCATGATTTATATTGTTTACCAAATATGTATTATCCGCTCTCAATTGCTTTCAATTGATATAATTTTGCTTTTGAGTTTGAAGTAATGAACCTGGTTAATATATATTTCAATGTCAGATATTGCAGACATAATTATGTATGACGCAATGAAACATAAATTTAATAAATAAATTTACATAAATGTGTGATTTACTAAGAATATGGGTAAAAATCTACCTATATTGCAAAGTCTGTTCTACACACCAAAAATCTGACCATTAAACACTTTTTCTTGATTAACCATATAATATATGCTCTCATGCTGCACACAGGAAAGAAATGATCAGACAATGTAATGGATACATAATTTTATGTTATCCAAAATGAATTGATGTCTTTTTACAGGATGCGCATTTTGAGTGGAAGCATGTACATCTACAGTGTAAGTATATGGCCATTGAAATGGCTCCCACGAAATCGAAATAACGCCTCGTGTGAGATAGGGTTTATTTAACAACACGTAAATGATATTTACCTCAGGAGCAGATGCTACTAGTTCCCTTGTTGCACCCGGCATCTTAGGCCACTTACAGAAGCTTGCTCTACAGTTCCCTTCACTGTCTGTCGAGAACAGATCCGTGTAATTGATCGGAACGTCCCTCTGATAGGACACAGTGTAATGTGGCTCTACTTCCATCGGGACTACATTCAGAGGCCGAAGAGGACCAAATTCGGGTGACTTTCTTCTCAACTGATCTTTGTCGGTTTGATTGAAATTCATTTTATCAGGAAAAGTTTGCGTACTGCCGACATTTGTCAGAAATACTGAATCTTTTGTCAAATGGGAGTAGATTGGGTTTTCAGAATGCGTATCGCATGATCTTTCAGCTGACATGTAGTTGTAACAGATACACAGGAGCACCGCTTCAGTTATCACTACGGGTAGAAGGACGCTCTGAAAAATAAATTGATAGTTTAACATTCATAAGCATTCATACAATATCATACGCGAATTGCATGGGAAATCAACGTTCTGAAACACATAAATATTTAAAGAATCACAAGGATTTATATAATAATACGAACGAAATAACGGTGAAATTGCTAGGTTACACGATACAATGTTTTATAGAGAAATAGTCATTTACAGAATAGGACGTAATATATATAGGCTGTTACCGAAAACAAAGTACTAGAGAACATAGATTTTAGAATAAAAATGTATTTTCTTCTTGTATATGATATTAGTGATAATGATAACAATAATAAAACACAAGAACCGCAATCGTATCAGAACGATGTGCATGCATTAACGCCCGTACGTGTTTACGTGACAAACGAAAGAGCCTTCCTCGGACAATCCAGAGCAATTTGTTAGAAGTCTGTAGCTTCTAGGATAGTGTAGATAGGTAGGCCAAAAGAAAGGCCTAAAAACGGCAAGGCACAAAAGATCAAGAAAAAGTAATTAACGACAAGATTGGCAGCGTTATAGAGCAACTCATGAAAACTGACTTAACTGAGGAAGAAAGAGTTAGTCTGTTGACAAACAATGTAATATACATTTATCTATTTCCTTGCAATCATTTCATTTGTTATGTGAGAAGCAGAGATATAATGCTTTTATTTATAAAGATGTGGCTTATTTCTTTTATCATATGCTTAGTTATGAGCACAGAAATGGTCTTTTAGATCCCTTGTTGAACATACATTGCGAGACAAAAAAATACCACTTGCGATATTATTTTCGATACTACATTCGCAATGAGTAATATATTTAGCATGATTGATAGAACATACGGGCGCCCTGTCCTGAAACAGATACGTAGATAAGCGTTTTAGCAAGAAGGTGGCCCGGTTCACCAACCACTTAACCTTTTTGGTTCGTTGCATTAAAGCATCCGTAGTCTCCAATGACCTGCTGAACCTAAAGAAAGACAATAGGGACTTTTAGATTGAGTGGACGAGAACACGACGAACGCCGACTGATCCTGCGTGTCAACGTACTCAATTGCCCATGTTGACTACAATTAGAAATCTTTTAAATTTCACTCGACGATATACATGCATGCAGGAAGTAACACTATGAACATGACAAACAATTGCTTTGGTAGACAAAAGAACATCCCCTCACTGCTATTATGTAAAAATGTGTAGAACAGGAGAATATGCATGTGACACCTGCTCTACACATTTTTACATAATAGCAGGGAAGGGATGTTCCTTCGTCTACCTGAGGAACTATGCTGCATACTAGTACCGTACTTGATTTAGGAAAATCAAGGTTGACGCATTCTCGATTGCCGACTGACACGACGTGACGCATGCGCAGTGCCTTAAAATGACGTCACACGTTGCAGTCAAAGCTGTCGACGTGCAAATCTAAAAGTCCCAAATGTGGTGGATGAACCGACCTATCGTAATTGACCGTTGGATCCTCCCGTAGAGTATAAGTACGCTTGCTTTACATTAGATTGTATCATCTGACGAAGTGTTGCAGCGGCGCACGAAACGTCGTGATCTTTTAGATTCCTTGTTGACCATTCATTGCGAGACAAACGAATATCACTAGCGATATCATTTTCGATACTTATCCGCAATGAGTAATACATTTAGCATTACATAAATGGTTGTCAAATATATGAAGATAATATTTGAGTGATTATACATGTATATTGTTCAGTAGATTTAAGGGCTTATAGTTTGATCACTGGTTACAGAGATCTTTTGTTTAGATTCAATTTGTAACTAAATATTCTGGTTGAAATGAAAAAAATGAGATGTAGATCTCACTGTTATCAATCATGATTTGTTAGAAAAAATGTTCTTTACAGTACTGAGGATAACTGTGATTGGATTATAGGTGATGTCCGTTCCCAGAGAGACTGACCTGGAAAGAAGGTTGATGTAACCTGTGCGTCTGTGTACACTGTAAACAAAGTTGGGCAGATGTTACTGGGTAAATCGAAGTTGGGCAAATTTTGTCCGATAATTGGGTAACTTTCTCCGAACCATTAACTATATGAAGTTACCTCATGAAAGGTAAAAGAAAAAGGTTGGGCAGATGTTACTGGGTAAATCGATGTTGGGCAAATGTCGTCCAACAATTGGGTTATTTCATACCAACCATGTAGTAACCGATGAAATAATTGGGTAATGTTATTGGGCCAATCAGAGTTGGGCCATTTTTGTCCAACATTTTGGTTATTTTCTCCCAACCATTTACTACATGTATTTACCCGATGAAATGTGAAAAATAAGTTGGGCAGATGTAACTGGGCAAACGTAAGTCGGGCAACATTATTATACGACAATAGAGGTGAATATGCATGTGGCACCTGTTCTACACATTTTTACATAATAGCAGTGAAGTTGAAATCTCCACATATGATAAGACGACCTGCACAAAGATTAATGGATTCCATTAATGCAGACTATCTAACCCCAAAAGACATCCTTTTAAGCACTCTTCAATGGCAAAGTGTTGAAAATAGAATCAACTACCACTACTGCATTTTGGTCTACAAAATACTCAATAATCTAGCCCCTTATTATTTAGAACCTTTTGCATGCAAACGTCCAGTTTACTATGGCTGCGTTCATGCTTAAATTTTGAAGGCAGAATGAGCGATCTGAAACGCTCATCGTAAACGCTCATCGTGATCGCAGTTCCACGATGTAGTGTTCATGCTTACTTCTCCAGGCAATACTCCTTGGCATGGGTGTCGATCCTTACGTAATACCTATTCATCAAGGGGGGATGAATGAATAGATCATCCCCCCTGATGAATAGGTATCAGTTACAGATCGACACCCATGCTCCTTGGATGGCCTTCAGCTGGATTCGCAAACCTGTGTGCGCATGCTACGTAGACCCACTAGAGGTCAGTGCGTTGACCTCATTTAAACGCGTTTACAAATTGTAAACGCATCTTTTTGTGAGTTTACGATCGGCGATCGTGATCGCCGTTTTTCGATGATTCTACAAAAGTGAGCATGAACGCAAGCGTGTTTTAAACTAAACGCGTAACAGATGCCTGATTCTGGCCGTCAAAATCAAGCATGAACGCCCTCTATGTTACTCGTCATTCTACCTTAAATCCCTTATTTATCCCGAAACCCAAGACTGAATTTAAAAAACGATCTTTTTCTTTCATCGCTCCAAGCATCTACAACAATCTACCGACTCATATTCGCACGGCAACTTCACTCCAAATGTTCAAAACCCAAATTAAATCACTCCCTCCACTTTAATGCATGCACTGGTACCTAATGTTATATCATGACTTATTACAGTTAGTTTTGTTTGTTTGTAGTTGTGTAGTCTGTAGTCGTTTTATTTCTTACCTTTTACCCTTTTGATTTTATGTCTGTTCTTTATGGCATGTGTATTTGTATATGTATTTTGTATTGTATCAATAATATCTTAAATGTTTAATATTTCAGGCCTAATGTTCACTTTGATCTAGTTTTTAAGTTGTTTTAGTTCTCTTATGGTATGTTGTTTATATAATGTTTTTGTTTTCTACAATGTATTCTATTTTTTGTAAATCTTTGTATGTACAGGGCTCTTTTGTAAAGCAGGCCTCTGGCACTGAAAAGACTACCCTGTTTTTAAATAAAACTGAATAAATAAATAAATAAATGTTTACAACAAATGGAACCGGGGAAGGAGGTTTTAATGTACGATTATCTAACCCTTGTGGTCATGTGGTTGTTTCATCCATAGCCCGGTTTATTTTTTTCAGTTTGCCTATGTATTTGACATAAGTGCAGCAGATGAAATGCAATGTCCATTTTGGTTTCAGTCAGGCTGATTAGAATGGCCATCCCGTACATTGTGCAGCCTCAGACGTCAACAATAAATTCGTCTTTGCTCACAGGAATTCACTATGAAAATGACTGACAAAGAAAGCGGACAAAATATACAGTTCCTCAGGTAGACAAAGGAACATCCCTTCCACGTGGATGATCTTTCCAACCCAGAGGCACGGACTTTGAGTGACATTCTTGAGGCAGCAGGCTTAAGACAGCTTGTCCACGAGGCTACGCATACACACGGTCACACCCTTGACCTCGTGATTGTCAAAGACAATGATGAAGCTGTTAGGGATATTACAGTCCTTAACTCGGCACCATCTGACCATGCAGCGGTTATCTTTAATGTTATGTTCCCCAAACCCTGTGCTGAAAAGAAGAAGGTCACCACTCGCTCTCTGCATAGGATTGATGTCTTTCAGGAGTAGCATCGTAGAAAAATTTGCAGAAGCCACAGACCTGGATAAACTTGATGTCAACGCAAAAGTGGACCTTTATAATGACAGTCTTTCTACCACTCTCGACCATCATGCCCCTGCTCGTGATAATTTTGATTTGATTTGATTTGATTTATTTATTTCTGTTTGATTTTCTTTTTCTTTTGCATTTTTTACAAATATATAACAAACAAATATTGCAAATTTACACATGACAAAAGAATATATGTAGAATAAATTAAGGCTGGGTATAACTAATCGAGAACATCAAACAGGAGGGTTGACAAAATAAGCAAAGCTTGATAGTATGACTACCCTCAAAGGATACATAATGATACAAATATGGAGGAACAAAATATTGGTAAAAGGGGGAAAAGACAGAAAAAAGAAGAGAAAAGAAAGATGGGATGCACATCAATATTCACAGACTTATGTGGTAGTTGGATTTCAAATTGATATATAAAGATTTTAAATAAGAAAAGAAATGCAAATTTGAATACTGAGTGGCCAACTTGGGATACAATAGAATGAGAAGACTCGCGAGGTTCGGACAGTAAGAATGTGAAAGTAAGATCAGCCAGCTGGTTTTAAACCTGGGCCTGCGAGTCGGGAGCCTTGAAATGTTTGTATAGAAGACAGTGTTTATTCAGTATCCCAAGTAGGCCACTCTTTATTCATACGTGTATTCATACCAGGTCATGGAAGGTTATAATCAACGTTTCAATGAATGGAAGCAAAAAAAAGTAAACAGTACAGAAAATTATCGAGTTTTGTAACGATGGGTAAACGAGGAGAACTTATTTTGTTGATGGATTTAAAGATAATGAGCAATAAGAAACTCTTTCACCGCTCTTTTAAAGGATAGCATTGTATTCATCGTTTTTATTTCAGGGGGTAGTGCATTCCAGGTATCAGGGCCAGAATGTCTAATTGAGTTTTGAGCTAAGGCTGTTTTGGCGTTAATAGGTGATAGTCATTGGAATGCCTGGTTGGGTAGGAATGAAAATTAAAATTATGTTGGAATAAAATGACTAGTGATGGGGGAAGATTGCCGGATTTGAGCCGAAACATGAACACAGATTTTTGCATGTAGTGTATATCACTTATTTTTAGAGTTTTTAATGTGGCAAATAAAGGGTCAGTGTGGTCGCGATAACCTGCATCGGTACAAACTCGAATTGCTTTTTTCTGTAACAGTAATATACGATTAGTATTGCACTTATGAGTAGCCCATATGATATTGCAGTAAGAAATATATGGTAAAACCAGTGTATTATATAGCATACTAAGCACATGTGTTGGCAAAAAGTATTTTAGCTTAAATAGTATACCAATATTGCGAGAAATAGGGGTAGAGATATAGTTCACATGATCATTCCAGTTACATTTTTCATTTATATATACACCTAAGAATTTCGTTGATGACTTTTTTTCTATTGGAACATTATCGACAAGCAGCTCAAAGTTATAAATAATTGTGATTTCTTGAGTTTCTAAAGTGAATAAAATTGGTCTTCTTTAGGTTCAATGATAATATGTTGCTTTTGAACCATTTCGATAACTTAGGTAATTCAGTGTTCATGGTTGCGATCATCGATTTTAAATCGGAATGTGAATAAAATACATTTGTATCATCGGCAAATAATATATACTGTAGAATTGGTGAAACATTAGAAATATCGTTGACATATATCAAAAATAACAGTGGCCCAAGTATGGAGCCTTGCGGGACTCCACATTTAATAGATGAGACGTTAGAAGAAACTGAATTGAATAAAGTATATTGTTTTCTTGATGACAAGTAATTTTCGAACCAATCAAGTGCTTTACCTCGTACACCGTAATGCTTTAATTTATACAATAATATAGTGTGATCAAGAGTATCAAATGCCTTGCTGAGATCCATGAATATGCCTATGACATGTTTATGATCAGCCAAGGCATTTGATACTCTATCGAATAGTTGGAGTAGTGCTAAATCAGTTGAATGGAACTTCCTGAAACCAAACTGATCTGGGATCAGCGAGTCGTTTTGAGTTAAAAATTTATATAATCTGTTGTAAACAATTTTTTCGAGGATTTTAGAGAAACTTGGTAATATGGATATTGGTCGATAGTTCGACATAGAAGAGGGGTCATCTTTTTTATAGATTGGTATGACTTTAGCCGTCTTAAAAGAGGCTGGAACAACACCAGAAGACATCGAAAGATTGAAAATGTGAGCTAGAGGTGATAAGATATACTGCCTATAATTTTTTTAAGCAAATGGGTGCTAACTTCATCATAGCTATGAGAATGGCTGGATTTTAATGAGCGAACAATACTTAATATTTCAATAAAATCTGTCGGATATAAAAAAAAGCGAAGAGTAAGTTGATTCTGGGAGAAATTCCTTAAAGTCATGGTTATGTCTATCGATTTTGGAAGCCTGGTCAGGGCCTATGTTAACAAAATATTCATTAAACAAATTTGCTATTTCATCTGGCTCATCTACTTTGTGACCATTTATATTAAAAGTTTGTTGAGTAGGTGTACGACTTTTCTTATTAAGCAGTTCTTTAATGACATTCCATGTAGATGATATGTTACCTTCAGCATTTTTTAGTTTGTTTGAAAAATATAATTTTTTGGATAGCCTTATGGTACTAATAAGCTTATTCCTATATTTCCTATAACTTCTTATATGTGAAGGGGTAGGGTGGTTTAAACTAAGTTTATACAGTTTGTTTCTTTTCCTTATTGATGTGAGAATTCCCTTCGTAACCCATGGGTTAATAATTTGTTTATATTTACCTCTATTATTAAGCTTTGGGAGACATGTATTAAAGTACGATTCAAATTTTGTCCAAAATAAGCAATATGCATCATCTGTATTATTGCACGATAAAACATCTTCCCAATTTTCGGATTCTAAGTTTTCGATTAGTCGAGATATATTCCGCTCAGTAAATCTTCGAACTTTAACTTTTTTGTTCGTTTTTGGAGGTTTGAGTATTTTTTCAAGTATTAGAAACAGTGGTAGATGATCTGAGATCTCAGAGTATATTAGACCTGACCTAAGTAATCCGATATCTATATTAATAAATATATTGTCTATTAAGGATGATGAGCGGGTATCTATCCGTGTAGGTTTATCAATTGTTGAGAAAAGTGCATTAGAGTACATGAGTGTACGTAATCTGTTGGTGTTATTATTATCCTTCAAAAGGTCAATATTGTAGTCGCCCATTAAACATATAACTTTATTTTCATCATTAAGGTTATGTAATAAAGTATCAATGTCAGAGAGGAATAGGTCTATATTATTATTGTTTGGAGGTCGGTAAATTACACATATAATAATATTTTCTTCTTTTCCCATATCGATTTCGACACAAAGTAATTCTGCACTATTATTCAGAAGGTGAACATCTAGCCTAGCTTTATATGATAAGGTTTGTAAAATATAAAGGGCGACTCCACCTCCTCTTTTAGTTTGTCTGTCATGGTGGACAAATGAATAATTATGAATTTCAAATAAGTTCGGGGAGTTATCAGTCAACCAGGTTTCAGTAATTCCAATTACAGAGAATGGAAATGTAATATCAGACAACAATGAACAAATTTTATCGTAATTTTTAACCAAGCTTCTGGCATTAGAGTAAAATAGACCAAAATTTGTACAATAATTATCCGTAAGTGTAGAATTAAATTCTTCTGGTAAGTAATATTGACAATCGACAGATTGCTGTTCGTTAATAGTTACGTCGTTAACGTTAATCATTTAAGAGTACAAGTAATAAATGAATCCATGACCTGGTATGAAGTAATAAATATATAAGCATGCACCCTACGATGTCTAGAAATCCAAAAAAATACATAAGGAAGCACATATCTGATATACAGATGCATTCAAATTTAAACATACGAAATATCAGGCCGAGTTTGTTTTGTCTATAGTAGAGTGAACTACAGTCTCTCCGTAACGTTATAATATACACACAAAATATTCTCTCTTAAACTGGGAAAACAGGTAGTGGGAGGATACGGAGAAGTAACGATAAAGAGAAGAAGATGAAAGGTAGGAGGATGGAAGGAGGTTCGTAAGAGATATAACACTGTAGATGCAGTATATACACGGTATTAAAGTAATACATTGTATAACATGTATTATCAGTCTTATATAACATTGTCAATAAAATCATAGAAAACAGGAATAACGTTACCAGTATGCTTGGGAGAAATAAAGTGTCTATTCCAAGGTTGTGAAGTCATACGGAGCACCACCTGTGCTTCGCCACTTGCCGGCGAAGAAACGAAGTTTGACATTGTTCTTATACAAGTCTTGTGCGGCCTTTGACCATTTCCTCTTCTCTGTTAAATCTTCGCGTGTGAGATCATCCGTCATGTAATATGATTCCTTGGCGAGTTTCAGGCGCTGGTTTCTCATGACGTCAATCTTGTCGCGATAGGACAAGGTCTTGAACATAATATGCCGTGACCGGTCCTGGACGCTTTTCCCATCTCTATGGGCCCTTTCTACTTTGACCGCCATCCCAAACTTTTCCTTCAAGGAGGTGCAATTAAGACCACATGCACCATGGTACGACAACGCTCTTCGGACATCCAAACGGAATGTTCGTCGGCTGTAGAGGAGGTGGAGAAAGTCCAATCCCAGATCAACGCAGGATAATGAGAACATGAAAAAGGTAGTAACAGAATATAACTACCTTTTAAAGAGGACGAAACAAGAACATCACCGAGAGCTGATAAGGACCTCCGACTCCAAACAGCTCTTTCATGTTGTGAAGAGTCTTACTACTGAAAGGCCTGCTCAAACCCTACCAGCATACCTCCTGAAACTGATATAGCACGTGAGTTTCTGAGTTATTTCACCAGCAAAATAGGCAACCTTCGAGCTACATTGGAAATGACATCCCGGAATACTCATGTGGAGAATGATATCCAGATGGACTGTCGGCTCGAGAACTTTAAACCTGTCAGTCAAGAGGACGTCTTGAAGATCATCAAATCTTCTAAAGTAAAATCATGTATGTCTGATCCGATACCAGCACAAGTCTTTAGACAATGCATGGAGGAACTTCTACCAGCCATTACAGACATTACAAATCAGTCTCTGCAGTCAGGAGTCTTTCCTGAAGCTCTCAAGTCTTCTTTGATTATACCAACTCTTAAGAAACCTAGCCTTGATCCTGATTGTCTTCGAAACTATCGGCCTATCTCAAATCTTCCCTACCTCGGCAAGATCATCGAACGAGTTGTATGTCAGCATCATTTAGTGTTGAAACAGCTCTGACAAGAGTGCAAGATGACCTATTGAAAATCATTGATGACGGCAATGAAGCAATGCTGGTTCTCCTTGATCTAAATTCAGCTTTTGACACTGTTGATCACAGCATCTTGCTGAAGAGGCTCTCAGCCTCCTTTGGCATCACCGGTGCTGTAAAAACATGGCTTGCCTCTTACCTGGAGGGAAGGGAACAACGAGTACTCATTGACGGTAAGACGTCCAGCTCTGAAGTGATTAGATGGGGAGTACCACAGGGGTCAGTGATAGCTAGGCCCACTGTTATTCATCTGTTATACAACTCTTCTTCAGAGTATTGCAGAGCAGCACAACGTTGAGTGCATGATGTATGCTGACGACCTGCAGTTGTACACAGCTACGAATCCTGCTACGAGACACGAGTCAAAAGAAAGACTAGAGTCATGTATCACGGAGATTCGCAATTGGATGAGTATAACATGCTTGTTATCAATGATGGCCAAACTGAAATGCTTCATCTAACATCATCCAGGAAGCGTGGCTCAAATCAGGAACTGTCTCCACTCACGGTTGGTGACACCAGCATTTCTAGCAGCACAACTGTTCGAGACCTTGGAGTTGTGCTCGATAATCACTTAACTCTACGTCAAAATGTGAACTCCATCTGTCGGAATGCATCCCTATCTCTCTACAAAATCGGAAAGAAAAAAAATCTCCTCGACAATCACACAACCGAGATCCTTGTCCACTCCTTCGTCACCTCTCTTCTCGATTCTTGTAATTGTCTCCTCATAAATCTCCCCAATAAAGACATCGCCAAGCTTCAGCGAATTCAAAATTCAGCTGCCAGACTAGTTTCCAAATTACCAAGGCAAGAGCACATCACTCCCACTCTTCAGGAACTCCATTGGCTGCCCGTATCCCAGAGAATCCAGTACAAAGTCATCACTCTAACTTTCAAAGCACTTCACCAACTCTGTCCCAGCTACATATCTGAACTTGTTACACCTTACATACCCACTCGATCCCTCCGCTCTGCATCTCAACACCTAATTGAACCCACGAAAGACAGAACCAAGTCATATGGATCCAGAAGATTCTCATCTGCAGCTTCGCATCTCTGGAACTCTCTCCCCACTACTTTCCGAACCATCACAGACTTAGCTTTCTTTCAATCTCAACTAAAAACCTACCTGTTTAAAAACGCTTTCTAATGTCATTTAAACTGTATTATTGTATTCATCAAAATTTAATTACATTACTGTACTCTTATATAATTTGCCTTCATTTCTGTGTTATGGATGTTTATAATGTTTGATTATTATTAATCTTTTCCTAATTTTGATATATATCTTTAGTTCATGAATTAGTTGTTATGTGTAATTTTGTTGTATTAATATTGTAAAAGCGCATTGTTATTTTCTTCGAAGATGAAATGCGCTATATAAGTCTAGGTTATTATTATTATTAAGGACTAATCTTGCATATCTGTTCTGCGTCCTCTGTAATTTGAGTAAATCTTTCTTTTTGCGCTTGCCCCAAACAACTGCACAGTAATCTATATGTGGAAGAATGAGGGAGTAATAAAGATGTTTCAGTAGGCTTTGGTTCAAATAACTCTTAATCCTTCTAGTGCATGCAATAGCCCGATTAATCTTATTAGTCACATTCAATATGTGTGGTGTCCAACTTAGACTTTGGTCAAGGGTTACGCCTAAATATATGATCTCGGTAACATTCTCAAGATAGTCTCGTCCATGACAGATTTTCAAAATTTTGTTCTTAGTTTTATGTTTCGTTCCAAAGACCATCAATTTAGTTTTCTTTGCATTTATTTCCATATTATTTATTTCAAACCATTTACGCAGTAAATCATAATATTTTTGTAGTTTCTTCTGACTGCTTTTTAAATTGTTACCTTTACAAAACAGTGCCGTGTCATCAGCGTACAGAGCAATTTTGGTTTGTCTACTAAATTTCAAGTTACACATATCATTAAGAAATAAGCAAAAAATGAGTAAACCTGTAGGAAATTGCTTTGGACTCCTTGAAATGAGACGCATTGTTGCCTATTCGTTAGGTATGAAGAGAACCAGTCTAATTCAACAGAATTAATACCATAATATGGCATTTTTAATAACAATATTTCGTGAGATATAACATCAAACGCCTTTTTGAGATCAAGAAATATCGCCCCTGTTATCAAACCACAGTCAATATTGTTTAACAAGTAATCGGTTATTTCAATAACACCCCATTCACAGTGGCCTCAAACACCGCGACAGCAGCGGGACTGTCCCGCTGCTGTCGCGGTGTTGTCTTCAGTGTGAAGGCTCGGACCCGTTATAAACTATCGCGGGATAACACCGCCTCGCGATAACGCCGCGACAAACTATCGCTAGGCTCGCCTAGCTACAGCAGCGGGACAGTCCCGCTGCTGTCGCGGTGTTTACTCAGTGTGAAGGCTCTCCGCTATAACACCGCGACAAACACGTGTGATTTGTTTACTTACCTATCACTGACCTCTTTTCTCCAGCAATGGGGAACATAAAGTGAAATAGAAATAAAGTAACCAGTGGATTCAAATTGATTTTATTATTATGTAGATTTATAATTATCCAAATAAAAATATTTCACACTTCAAAAAATTAAAATATTCTGACTGGAAGCAATAAAAATGCTAGTTTTTTAAAAAGTAATATGATCGAGGATACAAAAAGCAACTTGACATGTTTACCCTAAAACCCCGCGCTGAAGTATTTCCGGTCATATCGGGGTCACTCGCGGGTCATGAGCCATGCATACACGTGTTTGTTACGGAGGTAATAAAAATCACCCGCTGCAGCGTGAATGGGTACATGATATTTATCCCGCTGCTGCAGCGGGATAACTTTTCTACTGTGAATGCATTTGTAGCGGTGTTATGGCGGTGTCGCCGCTCCGCTACAACGCCGCTACAAATTTCAAAACCACTGTGAATGGGGTATTTGAAAGGGTATTTTTAGTCAGCATATTGGAGTTAAAGTCACCGAGGACTATAACATTATTTGTAAAAGAAAATACTTGGTCTAGGTTTGATTCTAGGCTTTCGAAAAAGGATATACATGTAGGTTTGCGATATACGACACCTACAAAAAATGGTAATCGATTTCTAACCCTTAATTCAAACCAGGCGCGGATCCAGGGGGGGGGGGCCGAGCGTGCCTTGGCCCCCCCCCCCCCCCCGCAAAAAAAAAAAAAAAAAGAGAAGAAAGGAAAAAAAGGGAAAGGGAAAAGGAGAAAAAGGGAAAGAAAGAAGAGGAAGAAGAAAAGAAAAGGGGGAGAAGGAGATCGGGGGCCGAAAGGGCCTTGCCTCCCAGGCTGTTAACACTCCCCCCCAATCAAAACAAATAAGAGAGAAGGAAGGAAAGGGAAAGAAAAAAAAGGAAAAGAGGAGATACTGGCGTACTGATAGGTGGGGGGGGGGGGGCTTTGGAGAAGTCAAATTCAAACGTGGTTTATTTCTAATTCCACAACGGTGGATTACAAATAATGCTGAAATGACATAATTTCCGAAATTTTTCCTCACTTTTTAGTAAATTATACGTTTGTATGTGTTTCAGGGCTCAAATTAATTTTTCGTCCACGGGGGCTCTTCCCCCGAAAAAAAGAGCCCCCGTGAGCCTTCTCACGGGGGCTCTTTTTTATACAAATATCCATTTAATTGGTACCTATGATACTCTTCAATTATTTGCTATTTCATCATTATCATTTCAATCAGCATTTTCCCTCTTACAAATTTACAAGCTACATAGCTGTTACTGGCCTGTGTATATAATATACGCATACAACACTGATCTTTGTGATGTCTTTAACGTGACATATCTTCTTCTCCCCTTGCAAAGGAAAAAGAAAACATGGTCATTAAAAGGGATTAAGCGACAAATAATGATTGTGATTCAAACTGATGCGAATATTCGTTTGAATAAGCACTGCTATTCACCCGAAACTTCTTTTTAAAAACAACTTTTACAAATCTCAGCCATGCTTACTGAGTTGAGACGTTCCATTCAATTTAAAATACCCATTACATAATACACTTCTCCTAATCTCAAAGTGATCTTACAGCACAGTGGCAGAATTGCATGGCTGAGATTTGTAAAAGTCGTTTTTACAAAGAAGATTCTGGTGAAAAGCATTGCTTATTCAAAAAAATCCTTGCATCAATTTGAATCACAATGATTATTTGTCGCATGGTCCTTTTATTAAATAACCTTGTTTTCTGTTTTGTTTGCAGAGGGAGAAGAAGCTATGTCACGTTAAGAAATCATAAAGATCAGTTGTATTATGCGTATATACATATGATACCAGAACAAATGTTGATTATCAGAATGTCATTTTGGAATACCTCTATACAAATACCACATTGTCTTTAGTCCGTATCAGTATTAGTATGATCCAATATAAGGCTATTATTCTTTATTTAATTCAGTATAATGCTTTTCCTCAAAAATAATTTTGCTATTTTTTTAGGGTCGAGACGCTAAGAAATGGTTTCAAATGTACATTACACGAACCCTGAACCATTGCAAAATGATGGTGATTCTCTCTCTCTCCCTCTCTTTCTTTATTTTAATTATGCATTATCAACTACATATAAAGCAGCAACCAACAACTTAGGGTTATCTGAGAAAGGTGAAAGTAAGAGTTAAAAAGAAAGTCATGCTAAAACGGCGCTTCACTTCCCACCGCCCCCTGAAAAAAATAAAATAGATTAGTAGTCCTCCTCTCCAGAATCCACCTCCCCCCCCCCGCTTTAATATCACATTTTCACTTGGCAGCCCAAGGGGGCCGGGGGTGGGAGGAGGGGGTTAAACCCCCTACCCCCACCCCCTGCCGTAGATCTGCCCATGTTACCATATCATTCCACGACATTTTGGTCTTCCTCTTCTCCTCAAAAGGGACTTTTAGATTTGCGTGGACGTGGACGTGTTACGTCCTTTTAAGGCACTGGCAATCACATGTGACGTCCTTTTAAGCAATGGCAGTGCCTTAAAAGGAGGTCACACGTTGCAGTCCACGTTCTCATCGTGCAAATCTAAAAGTCCCTAATATTGATTTACTGGTCGAGGTTCATTATTTGCTGACAACGAAAAACTTCTCCAGGCCATGACCATGTTTCTGCCCTTGCCCGATCGCCTCCAGCTCCAGCAGACATGGCGCAGCAGCGTGCACACGCACCGCTACTAACGGCGCAGTAGGCCTATAACCACTGCTGACGGCGGCACTGCACTTTTCTTC